TTCAAAATTCTTAACAGTATTCCTCTTATTGATTTGTTTTTCCAAGAGTTTGAAATCTGACTTCTTTAAATTCTTCCTCCCATAGTTCACATGGACCCATGGTCCATAACCTTCTTTAGCATCATCAGCATCTCCATGAGAATTCCTTTTATCAGTTTCTAATTTAACATTTCCAACATTTTCCCTATGATTTTCACTGATAGCTTGAGACTGAATGGAAGCTACTCCCTTTTCAGGGCAATTTTCTTTCAAGTGTCCTAACTTCCCACAAGTAAAGCAGAATGTAGGAAGTCTTTCATAATCAATGCATTGAAAAAATTTACCCAAACTCCCAAGGGTAATTTTTCATCAAGCTTTACACGGACACAAACTCTTGCAAATTCTCTTCTACCCCATTGAAACATATTTCCATCCATCAAATAAGGAGTGCCTACCATGGAAGCAATCCTGTATACGTTGATCTCATCCCAGCTTTGTAATGGAAGATTCAACATACGAATCCATATAGGAGCAGTCAAACCTTTGAAGGAAGTAAGAGAGAATGATGGAGACCATCTATCCATTCCCACTATACTCCCATTCACATACCACAGACTAGTGGTGAAAACCTTGTCCATCACATCTGGATTCTCAAATGCATAGAGAACCCAACCCATACCAAGTAAGGTCAAGTGAAACTTCCCAAAAACTCCCCACTGCCTCCTTAACTCCATGCTAATGATATGGAAAGGAATGTTGTTACCGAAGATTTTAATTACCAAGGATTTTTGAAGTTTTTTTGAGTTCTCCAACTCATTTCCTGTGTGCAGTTTAACTGTTGATCCATTTTCAATGAATCCTTCACCTAGATCTATATCAATTGCTCTGATGTTAGTTTTCTTACTCCATGCATTCTTCAATTCATTCCCAGACTGTTGTTTAGTGCCCTCCAAGCAGTTAGCAGATAATTTGCAATTCCCAAGTTCACCTGATTCACAATTCCTGACATTGTTCAGTTCTGAAGTTATCTGCTTAAAGCAGGAATAATCCTGCCCTGGAATAACATATGCTTTATTAACTTCTATCTCAGCTTCCATGTTCTGCAAACTAGGAACATGACAGATCTTGAGTTTCTCCTTCTCATACCCATCTTCAATGATAGCTTCATTCTCCCTTACTTTCAATGAGCAGTTACCACTAGAATCCTCTTTCACCACATAAAACGACGAATTGCACAGTTCAGATTTAACAAAACCTTTTGAGATCCCGACCTCTTCAACCAAAGACTGATTTTTTCCATAACTTTTAAATAAAATCTTCTTGCCCTTACCGACATCTTCAAGTTGAACTTTCTCCTTCGGTAAGCCTCCCTCTTTAATCACCAGGGGTCTATCCATTCTGAATTTGATTTTAGCATCTCTATCAACATTCGAATCCCCAAAGGCCGGAGGAGATGAAACTGGTGTCAATCAAGATCCATTCCAGGATGGAACAGATGGAGGCCGAACGTTGAAAGAGACACCAGCTGAAGGTTGCCGGCGACTCTCCAATGTCATCGAATCCAAGCAAAAAACCCGCGCGCCGGAGGAATTCAAAATTCATCTTTTCCCACAATAAACAGAGCTTCTCTCTCTTCCCTAAATGAATTGAATCAAAGATTATCATGTTTATGTCATTATTAGTATTACCACAACAATAGTTCTAGGCCAATGAACCCAATATTTCATATTTTTATTATTTTACTACCATTTTTTCAATGTCCCACTATTTTTTTTTAAATGCCATGATTTCTAATTATGATCTTTGTTATAATTGGTATCTCTCTAAGTGTTGGTTTGATACAAGGTGAGTGTAATATAGCTAATAAGGGTAAGATAACAATTGTAGTTAGTTGTCGATAGGGGACCATCGACAAGACAACTAATGAGCATTTGCCATAAAAAATTTTCTAGCTAACTTTATATATTAATGTTTTTTATTATTACACACATATCCTTATATATATATATATATATATATATATATAATAATTAAATCCATTTCTAATTCACCTTAACCCTCACCCCTTAGCCCATTACTTTGTAGGAGTAGGAAGAGAGAAGAACCAGAAGGAAGAGAAAATGTGGAGAGACATTTTGTGTATATTGAATAAATGGGACATTTAAAGCATTCATTTTAGTTATATGAAAGTCCTAAAATATTGTTCTAAATGTTCCTCTAGACTTGTAACTAGAAAGCAAAATGTTCAGTGAGTAGGCCTTTACACATACAATGCTACATGATGTTGGTAATTCTAATAGTTTATGTTTCATCATATTCATTTTTAAAGTTATAATTATCTTCTATTACATTCAAATTGCACAATTCATGGCATTACATTGGATAAGTTTTGATTTCTTAAATGTTTTACAAGTGCACTTTTTGAATTGATATAAGGGCCATATCTATTATGTTATGATCCCATCTATCCTATATGAATGTGGGAGGCATATGTCCTATTATGTACTGATCACATATGTCCTGTGTGGATGAGTGAGGTTTCTGTTAAGTTCTAACGTCACTTGCCTTGTGCTGGTGTGAGAGGTATAAAGGGAGTTACAAGTGCAAGTGGAGTTACAATCATACATAGAAACATGTGCACATTATATTCATACATTACATATTTTAATAATTCAAAAGAATTCGAGTGAAAGAAACATTCTGATAATAAACATATTCTGATATGCTCGATATCTCTATGAAGTGATCTATCTGTAAAAGAACAGATGATGCCTTTGATAATAAGCATATTTTGAGAGCCCTATGAAGGTATTTTTATGAAAAGTACTAAGGTAAATATTATGTACAAAGTTAAGTGGTAATTTTTTACATTAATTTTTCTAAAACACAAATATGTTAAATTTTACATATGTTACAACTGTTAGCGCCAAGATTATACTATGATATTTAACTTACCATTTGAATAATTTATTATTTATAGTAAAATGAAAATTAATATATGTGATGAGAAAGTGGAAGAAGTCTACTGAGCTTTTTGCTAACCTTATGGAAAAGGAAAGGGCCCCATAAAGTAGAGTTCATAAAGGTAGGATCAGTAGGTCTAGTACTTCTAAGGTATTTTGTAATTCAATTACTTATTTTTGATGTATAGACTTTGAAAGAGTTGGATTATTGTATATAATTTTTGAGGAAAAAAAATTGAATGGTGTTTTAGACTATTGATATTGTACTTAGCTCTAATTTATCCTGTGTTGTGGCTAAGAAAAATTAGGTTTAAGGATTTAATTATTCAATTAGATCCCGGGGCCTCACAATATGAGGGATATACATATACTTATTGCTTTAGAGAAAGTATACAATAAAGTTCCTAGAGAAATGCTTTGGAGAGTTCTTAAAAAAAGAAGTTAATAATACATATTCAAATCATTAAGGATGGACATATAAGAGCTGTTACTTGTGTTCAAACACAAGGTTGTTTGAGTAAGTTTTTTTATTTTTCAGTTGGATTATATTAAGAATTAGCTTTTAGTAAATATCTTGTTACTTTAGTCATGATTCATCTAATTAGGCATATGTAAGAGGATGTACCAGTGTGTATGCTTTTTACTAATGATAATCTTCTTGTTGAAAAGATTAGAGAGGGAGTTAATGAAAAACTTGAATTATGGAGGTCAACCTTAGAGTCTAAAAGTTTTAGTTTGAGTAGATTTAAATTCAAATGCATGGAGTGTGATTTTAGTAGTAATAGATTTATTGACGAGGTTGTGACATTTGGTTATCAAGGCATTAAAAATATTACAATTTAGATATCTCAGATATATTGTTCAAAGCGATATTGAAATAGATGGGAATATTGTTAGCATAATTCAAGTTGGATGGTTGAAATGTAGGAATGCATCAATCCTATTGTGCCATAGAAAAGAACCCCTAAAAATTTAAGGGAAAATTTTCTAAGATGGTGAATCTTGCAATACTTTATGTCGTAGAATGTTCTCCATTAAAGGAGAAGTATAAGAGTAAGTTAAGTATTGTAGAGAAGATGATGCTTAGGTGGATAAGTGGCTATAAATTTAGAAATATAATGTGAAATGAGTATATATGTGAAAATGTTAGAGTAGCTCTAGTGGTAGATAAGATTAGCGAGACTGGCCTCAGATGATTTGGTCACATAAAACGATAGCCTTCCTATGATCTTGTTAGAAGAGTAAGTATATATAGAACTGACCTATGTTAGGAAAGGTATAAATAGATCTAAAAGACTTGATTATAAGCTATTAAAAATAATATACATTTTTTTATATTTAAATGAAAATTTAACTCTTAGGGGCTGTTTGGTTTGAAGTAAAATATGTGTAAGGTATTCAAAATCCAGGGGTTTTGAAAATATTGATGTTTTGTTGGATGAAAAATGAATGCAAAGTAATTTAAAATAAATGTAGTGTGCTTCCAGGGGCAGATCCAGCTTCTTCTTTTAGGATGGGCCAAAATATTTTTTTTTTTTGTGGGGGATGGGCAAAGACGCTTATGATTCATAAAATTATGATAAATTTTTTTTTTGAGAGGGGGAAAAATGCCTAAAATACTAAAAATATTCCAAAATATCCCTTCTAAAATTAAAATTTTTTTTTTGAGGGTGGGCATTTGCCCCCCCCCCCGCTCAATATAATGGGGATCTGCACATTTGTGCTTCCACCCATTACCGGCAACTAGCCCCCCCCAGATCACACATCCTCCACCTGCCATTGGCCACCGCTGTAGCCATTCACATTTGGCCGCCGCTGGCCACCACCATCGCCAGATCTACATTCCTTTTTTTAGCCAATCAAACATCTCTTAATAAGATATAATGTAGAAAAAAGATTGATTTAGCCAACCCACATGGTGAGATAAAGAATTGTTATTATTGTTGTTACTATTATTATAAATAAATTTAAATTATTTATGCATAATTAACCATTAATCAAATTAATGATATTTATAAAAATCTTACAGGTGACAGCCAGCAATAACGGTTCTCTCTCGTTAGTGACGCTTGGGAACATTCGACGCTGTCTCCTCACCATTCCCATCTCAATCGGCTTCGAATCCTCCGCCCATTTTTCAGAGAAGAAATAAGCGAAAGGGACCGGGCATTTCTTTCCCTGTTACAAATCCCTCTTGCTAATTGATACCAAGCATCCAATGCTACCGCCGAACAGATACCCTCTTCCTCCGTACTCCAAGGACGGCGATTTGCAGGTCGGACATGGGTGATGGGCACTCCGATGGTGCCCCTCGCCCATCCGGCGCCTAACCAGAAGGCCGCCGCTTGGGCTCCCGTCAACCGCAGTCAGGCTTCTTCTGCCGCTGCCTACAACCCTAGCTACGACATGTACTCAGACACAGCGCATGCTGTCCCCAACAACCCTTATGTGCATGTCTACCCTGTTGCTGGATCCAGTGACGGTAGTAAGTTGTTGATATATGCAATCATTTGATATTTGGATGACAGGTTTTCTTTTGCCTGAGTTGTTCGGAGTAATTTTTGAAGGCTTGGTTGGTTTGAGATTAGGTTGAGGTTTAAGAGATTAGTAATTTTTAGTTGATGAGAGACTAGGAGAGTTTAATCCCATGATCCCAGTAATCCAGTTAATCTTAATCAGGGGGAAATTGGTTTGAAATAATTGGATTGGGATGTATTAAGTGTTCAAATCAGAATTAGCTTATTCTCAGACAGTAAAAGCGCGACTCTTAGAAACGATTAGGCATCTAATATGTTTAACAATCTTGAGGGCTGTTTGGTGTGTCTGCTTATATGGATTTTAATTGAGAAGCTATCGAATTCTGGTTTTGGCAGGTTTTGATAAAAGCTAGTTCAAAATAAGGATTTATCAAAACCCAATTGAACTGAATTTTTTATTTCAGCGCTAAGATTTGATTGGATTTAAGAAGTAGATAAAAAAATATTCTCAAAGCCCATGATTAGCCAATTGTATTTTTTTCTTCAGACATCTTTTGTACTTCATCCTCTTAAGGTATTTCTTGGTTTTTCCTTGTTTTCCATAGGAACAAAAGAGAACATTTTCAAAGTGTTGGACCGGTGCGGAAAGAAGCTAGAACAAAGCACCAGAAAGGCCGGGGTTCTTGCTTGCAATGTCTGGAACCACCGTATGTTTCACTTCCTGTTACGAACTAAATTTGATCATTTAAACGAAATCTTTTGCGTTGCAATTTAGAATATGTTTTCCACAATTAGTGACCTATGTGATATGCATGAAGAAAAGAAGTAAGAATGTCAATCTAAAATAGTTAAATGAATGTGATTAAATAATATCTAATTTTGAATTATTATTTTTTCTTGAAGATTGCTAATGATGCATGGTAATTATCATTTACCTCTCCTAAAATTTAGCAAGTTGTCATATCAAACACGTACCTTATATTTACCATTTTAGTCATCTTTTGTTAATCATGTGGCAAGTTATATTTCATTTAAAAAAAACTAAATAGTAGAACCTAAATTAGCTTTGTGGTTAGATTTTTCTTTTTTAATGATTTATTATTGCAATTTCTTCATTTTTTTAATGCAACTTGTTCAAGACTTTCATTGTTTTATTGTTAATTCAATAAATAAATCATGATGTAGGGACTTGCACTTAATTAATAATTATTTTCAATTAATCTAAATAGCTATCATATAAGTTTAATCACCATCTACTTCACAATGAAACTCAAAGAAATTAAATGAATTTATTATGGTGTACTGAGCCACCCATATTGATTGCCAATGCATAAAATGACTTGAAGAAATTTAAATCACCATCATATAATTTGGTACGCCAATGCATATGGTGAGAACTACACATAAAATGTTTCTTTAAGCGATCCTGTATATTTTAAATTATGATTCTTCTCCATTGATAACCTGGAAAAATTCTTGTTTAGCTTTGCCCTGCGAATATGATTCTGGAAATTCTAAATTAGAAATATTTTGATAGGAAACACTTGAAGATCTCAAGTATTTCCTAACAATCTTTGGAAAACAGCGAGCTTTCTTACCAAAATCCACACAAGAACAGGAAAAGAGTAGAAAATTTGTAATATTTGATGAAATGGAAGCGAAAAATAGCGAGATACAATTGATCCTCTATTCGAGAGGAGAATTGTTCTCTCCCAATCTCTAGACGCCGTTAGAGCCCAAAAGAAATCAAAGAGATCTCAAATTTCAGCCAAATTCAAGATGCCATAACCTTAGGAAAACAAAGTATATAATGCATAAAAATCAAAAGGAAATCCCTAAACAATCCCTACATTCAAAAATCCCTCCCAAATCCCTAAAAAATCCTTCCTAAAATGACTCATGTGGACCTGCGGCTTGCATGGCGTCCGCAACAGGCGGAGTTTTCTCCGTTGTTTCGCGTCTGGGCCGGTCCCGCGTGGACCGGCTGGACCAGTCCACTGGACCAGTCTAACATATTTTTGAAACTCAAACAGTACATATTGAGTAAAATTATAATGAATTATCTACTACGGAGGTTGGAATTACTAAATTAACACCTGCATTGAAATAATTAGGACTTTGGTCCGATTGCTTTTGTTTGAATGGTCAGGTAAGAAACTACTGTTAGAAAATTATTGTGAAGAAAATATTGCTGTTAAAGTCGTTGTTTCTGTTGAGGGATTTACAGTTGAGCTACTGTGCTAAACACAAAAGCTAATTTCATATGTGTGACTTTAGTGCCTTATATTTGCTGTGATAGGCCAATAGAATAAAAGCCCTGCCAATAAAATTCCTCGTATTATTTTATCTTTTTACGAATGAGCTATAAGTTGATTACAATAAAGATGCGAATAAAACACTATATGAGACATCATAACAGACCTTGACCAATTAATAATTTCATTATCATATGATCAAGATAAAAATTAGCTCAAACTTAATGAGAAAATAAATAGAAAGATATAAGAAAACACAGTTGGTTTATAAGGGAAGCTGAATGATAAGTTCTTTGTATTTCGCTTAATTGTCCAATAAAATAATTAAAAAAAAGGTTTTTTAAACAAAAGATTGTGATATGAAATGAACAAATTGATGAAAAAATTACTGAATTTGTTAAACTAACATATTCCCTTACAAATCATAAATTTTGTGGGCTCCGAAAATTTGTCGCCTTGGCCTGCCTATTTGCATGATTCGAGGGGAGTTTTTATGGGTTAAGTTCTAGGATAAACTTTCAGAAGGCTAATTGGTTAGAAATAAGACACTACCCATTGATTTCACCATCATTTGCGAGAACTTTAAGATATGAGTTCAAGTTTCTCATAGTTGCAACTCTCTATGGACTACCCAGATACCTAGATATTTTTTCTTCATTTGCGAGGACTTTAAAATTTGAGTTCAAGTTTCTCATAGGCACTCTTGGTGACGAGAGCGTACTTTCAAATAGGCTAGTCGTTAGATAAACACTTAGTACCTGCCATGTAATAGCAACAGTTCTAATTTGGTTTAAAATTTACCACCTTGCACTTAAAGTGGATTTTGGGAGGAATGATGACAAGCTTGATTAAGATCCCATTATTTTGTCATTCTGGTTCGTCATGGTCTCTAATTTAATTAGTCAGAAAAGATAGTTGAACTAACGTGATTGAAGGATCCTTGTCGGTAATCATGAGTTATTTTATCTAAAGATACCTTATAGAATTAGGGTTAGTGTTTGTCTAAGGGAAAAATTCAAGGGTGTTTGTATAAGGGACAAATTCAAGTCAACCTTAGTTAACAGAGGGCTCTGTGCCTTAACAAGTGTATTCTATGATTCATTATTTAAGGGAGCTATTCATTAAGGAGCATACATGCTCCAAATATTGTTTTTAATACATGCTCCAACTATGATAATAATATAAATGGTGCTTATTTGCGGCAAAATCATTTGGTCAGAGGGCCTCGGTCATAACCGTTTGTCTGTATAGTTATTAGTGCCAAATCATCGATTAGATAACTTGTGTTACGTATTTACTAGCAATTGTTTGTTTAAAAATGAATCTTAATGATATTCTCGATTGGACATCCGCTCTTTGTGAGCTTAAGTTATTTTTGAATTTGTCACCCTCACCAAGCTGGTGTGAATGGTGAATGATTTTTCCTTTAAGTTATGTGTGATTAATTACCCTTTAAATATTTGAGTTTAAATAGACTTTGAATTTTAAAATTTTCATAGGTTTTAAAGACCCCTACGGTTGAGATCTTATTTTAACACGACCATTATTTGGTTAACATTAACGTCTCATGAAAAATATTTGTATTTATTGGGGTTTGGTGGCGTTTAAATTAATAGTTTCCTTCGGTTGAGATTCACTTTTAGCATGACCATTGATCATTGAGAAAACATTGAAGTCATTTTAAAGTATTTGTATTTGGTGGCTTGAAAATTTGATTTTGAGAGTTAACGCTCTGGATGAGATATTTTTCCAGCATGAACATAATTGGGAATTTTGAATAATTTATATTTTTATTTTTTGAATTTTGTCAACTCTGTTGGGCACCCCCCAACAGAGGATTGTGTTGAATATCAACTTTGTGAATTATTGTAACGATAAATAATATCTAATTTTGAATTATTATTTTTTCTTGAAGATTGCTAATGATGCATGGTAATTATCATTTACCTCTCCTAAAATTTAGCAAGTTGTCATATCAAACACGTACCTTATATTTACCATTTTAGTCATCTTTTGTTAATCATGTGGCAAGTTATATTTCATTTAAAAAAAACTAAATAGTAGAACCTAAATTAGCTTTGTGGTTAGATTTTTCTTTTTTAATGATTTATTATTGCAATTTCTTCATTTTTTTAATGCAACTTGTTCAAGACTTTCATTGTTTTATTGTTAATTCAATAAATAAATCATGATGTAGGGACTTGCACTTAATTAATAATTATTTTCAATTAATCTAAATAGCTATCATATAAGTTTAATCATCATCTACTTCACAATGAAACTCAAAGAAATTAAATGAATTTATTATGGTGTACTGAGCCACCCATATTGATTGCCAATGCATAAAATGACTTGAAGAAATTTAAATCACCATCATATAATTTGGTACGCCAATGCATATGGTGAGAACTACACATAAAATGTTTCTTTAAGCGATCCTGTATATTTTAAATTATGATTCTTCTCCATTGATAACCTGGAAAAATTCTTGTTTAGCTTTGCCCTGCGAATATGATCCTGGAAATTCTAAATTAGAAATATTTTTGAAACTCAAACAGTACATATTGAGTAAATTTATTTAATGAATTATCTACCATGAAGGTTGGAATTACTATATTATTACTTGCATCGAAATAATTAGGACTTTGGTCTTATTGCTATTGTTTGAATGGTCAGGTAAGAAGCTACTGTTAGAAAAATTATTGTGAAGAAAATATTGTTGTTAAAGTCGTTGTTTCTGTTAGGGACTTACAGTTGACCTACTGTGCTAAACTCAAAAGCTAATTTCATATATGTGACTTTAGTGGCTTATATTTGCTGTGATAGGCCAATAGAATAAAAGCCCTGCCAATAAAATTCCTCGAATTATTTTTTCTTTTTACGAATGAGTTAAAAGTTGATTACAATAAAGATGCGAATAAAACACTATATGAGACATCATAACAGACCTTGACCAATTAATAATTTCATTATCATATGATCAAGTTAAAAATTAGCTCAAACTTAATGAGAAAATAAATAGAAAGATATAAGAAAACACAGTTGGTTTATGAGGGAAGCTGAATGATAAGATCTTTGTATTTCGCTTATTTGTCCAATAAAATAATTAAAAGAAGGTTGGCTAAACAAAAGATTGTGATATGAATTGAACAAATTGATGAAAAAATTGCTGAATTTCTTAAACTTACATGTGCCCTTACAAATCATAAATTTTGTAGGCTCCAAAAAGTTGGCTCCTTAGCCTGCCTATCCACATGATTCGAGGAGAGTTTTTATGGGTTAAGTTCTAGGATAAACTTTCAGAGGGAAAATTAGTTAGAGATAAGACACTACCCATAGATTTCACCATCATTTACAAGAACTTCAAAATTTGGGTTCATGTTTCTCACAGTTGCAACCCTTTATGAACTACCAAGATATTTCGTCTTCATTTGCAAGGGCTTTTAAATTTTGAGTTCAAGTTTCTTATAGGCACAAACTCTTATTATTAATTACTCTTGGTGACGAGAGTGTACTTTCAATTTGGCTAGTCGTTAGATAGACACTTAATACCTATCATGTAGTAGCAACAATTTTAGATATTGGGTTGAAAATTTACCATCTTGCACTTAAAGTGGATGGTGGGAGGAATGATGACAAGCTTGATTAAGATCCCATTGTTTTGTCATTCTAGTTCGTCATGGTCTCTAATTAATTAGTCAGAAAAGATAGTTGATCCGACCTAATTGAAGGATCCTTGTCGGCAACCATGACTTGCTTTCTCTAAAGGTACCTTATAGAATTAGGGTTAATTTTTGCTAAAGGACAAATTCAAGTCAACCTTAGTTAATAGAGGGCTTTGTGCCTTATCAAGTGTATCATATGGTTCATTATTTAAGGGTGCTAGTCATTGAGGAGTATAAATGCTCTGACTGTGATCATAATATAATGGTGCATATTTGCGGTAAAGTCATTTGGTCAGAGGGCCTTGGTCATATCCATTTGTCTATATAATCATTAGGGCCAAACCATCGATTAGATAATATGTGTTACGTCCTTACTAGCAAAAGATTATTTAAAAATGAATCTTATTGATATTCTTGATTGGATATCCGCTGTTTGCTAAAGTTATTCTTGAATTTATCACCCTCACCAAGCTGTTGTGAATGATGAATGATTTTTGCTTTAAGTTATGAGTGATTAATTATCCTTTAAATATTTGAATTTAAATAGACTTTGAATTTTAAAATTTCATAGGTTTTAAGACCCCTCCAATTGAGATCTTATTTTAACACGACCATTATTGGGGTAACATTGACGTCACATGAAAAATATTTGTATTTGTTGGGGTTTGGTGGTATTTAAATTAATAGTTTCCTTTGGTTGAGATTCACTTTTAACATGGCCATTATCGAGAAAACATTGAAGTCATTTTAAATTATTTGTACTTTGTGGGTTGAAATTTGATTTTGGGGTTAACCATTCGGTTGAGATATTCTTCAGCACAAACATAATTGGGAATTTTCAATAATTATCTTTTTATTTGCTGAATCTTGTCAACTCCGTTTGCCCCCCAACATAGGATTGGGTTGAATATGAACTTTGTGAATTATTATAACGACATTAAGTTGAGAGTGTGCATTCTTATGATGAGTTTTTCTTAAAGAGCCTTTGAATGCCTAATTTAAACTTATGTTAATAAGCAAACACACCATCGTATATTTGGCTATTCTTTTAAGGAGGATTTGACTTAAATTTTGAGTTAATATTTATCCCCCACAACATTCTCAAATATGAGATTCAAGAGTTTATTGTGATGGTCGGAGCATATATGAATAATAAATTTATTTTAAATGGCATGCACAATTTTTTATGCATTTGTATAATGCAGTTTCACGTCTTTTCGATGCACATATATGTTTTTCGAGACTATCCCACATTTTTAACGTATTAACTTCTTTCTCATTGTGATAAATACTTATGAATTGAAAATTCTATGAAGTTCTTGTAGTGTTTCAAACTTTAATGTATCTAGTTGATTTTATTTTGTAAACTTACGGCCCGTACTATGAATTATTACCTTTTCATTCCCTTCTCGCTACTTCATATCACACACCTTGCTTGATGGACATTGGCGAAGCAAGAAATTTTTTTTCTAGTAGGGGCACAAATTAATTTTTTAGATATTCCCTCAATTTTTTTTATTTATGCTTGAGACTGGCATTGACAACTTTAAAATATTTTTTTTTTATTTTAGAAATGTTTAAAAAATGATAAAAACATTTACAATTTATAATACATACTCTTCATATTCTAAAAGAGTTGAATTGTTATTTTATTATCAATACAATCAAATATTTTTTTCTCAATATATGTGATTAAAATATTATTTATTCATCGATCTCTAATTCTATTTCGCAAAAAAGTTCTTTTAACTTATATTACATTTATTGATTTTAAAATAAATACTAAAATTTTTAATTTATAATGATAAAATTTTGATTATAATATCAAAATCTAATTATTTCTTTTGGGGACCGTTAGGGATCAAACATGTGAGCCGGCAGGAGGAATTTTTTCGCTCAACCATTGAGCTGCCCAGCTCGTCCCAAATCTAATTAATTTCATTATAAAAGTTAGAGCTATAGGAGATGAATAAAAGAGTACAAATAATTAATTTTGATTCTATTTAAAAAAAAAAAGACTTAGAAATTTTTTAGCAATAAATTCACATGAAAATTATGAAAGCTAAAATTAATTCCTACTGTTTGTATATTGGAAGAATCAAAACTTCTTATTTTTTAACTAGATCTATGAGGATTCTGAAATATTCTTATTTTTATTTTTTTTTGGGCTATAAATAGGTTATGTAAAAATAATTAAAAATTAATTATAGCAATAAAATTTCAGTTTTTTATATTTTTGTATATACTAGTTGGACGTGTATTGTTTATTTCCTTGGCTAACAATTCATGAAGGGCTATTGTAGAGGCTATACTTCTAAATTCTATCTTTCGTATGTGATGTCATTTAGCTGTGAAAGCAGTAAATCTGTAATTTGGCATGAGCTATTGTAATAGTGCCGGGTCAGTTTCGGGTTCGACCCGAATCTGACCCGTGACCCGAAATTGACACTCCTACACCTTACTATCTTAAAGTAGGAGTATATGAAGTTTTCTCATTTTCAATTTTGCTTTTTCATTACATAGTCAAAACAGGTCCTAGTATCACTGATGCAGCAATGGCAAGGATTGCTCAAAGAACAAAGGTCTTTGCAGAAGGGGGCAACGACAAAATTTTTCAGCAGAACTTTGGTATTTATACAGGGGAGGAACTTAGAAAAGCATTTGCTTGTTATCTTTCCACGTCCACTGGTCCTGTAATAGGGACCCTATACCTTTCTTCACTAAGGCTGGCGTTTTGTAGCGACAACCCTCTTTGCCACTACACACCTTTAGGTCAACAGGAGTGGGTATATTACAAGGTACAGCTTCTGATTTCTTTTCTGATATATACGTTTATTATGCATTATGTCTTCATATGTATTACTTGCTAGAGTTTCATACTCTGTTAATGGGATTTGGTTCCAAAATGTGTTAGTCTTAATTAGCATAGTCAAGGCTTAGGTAGCAGTGCACAGCTGAAGGAAAGCATCTGCACCAGTATAAGCATGCAACTAAATTTATCAATTTCAAATAAGTTGAGAAACTAAGGCTTCGTTTGGGATGACTTTCTTACTGCTTCTTCAAACAACTTTTTAGTTCAAAATCAAAATTTTTGAATAAGAAAGCTGGTTTAAAAACCAATAAAAAAGCCGTCCCAAACGAAGCTTAAAAGGACATGTGTTAGACAAAAAGGCATGGATTAATAAGGGTCTAGGGAGATATTGTAGCATGTAAGTTTACCGTCGCTCGAACAAAGATGTTGAAGGCAAAGTCTTAGATTTATCGATGAATACTAATTAAGATTTGGAATGTTATAGTGAATAATGCAATAGTTGGATTAACATTTTTTTTTTCAATAAAATCTTGAAGAGCAAGATGAGGTTTAGTTGAGAATAAGTATTGTTGTGTTAAGTGCTAAAAATGATTATATGATCTGATCAAGTTTTTGAAAAACATCATACTTAGTGCAAGCTCATTTCTTGCAAACACAACAAAAAACATGAGCCTGCCTTGAGGAATTGTCATGGGCAGAGATTTTGATGCTAAGGTTTTGTTTGGGACAGCTTTTTTATTGCTTCTTAAAGCAGCTTTTTAGCACAAAAATTAAATTTTTTTTACTACAAAGCTGCTAAAAGAAGCACTAAGAAAATTGTCCCAAACGAAGATTAAATTTTCCAATAAACTCAAGGGCAAGAGAAAGGCGCTTAAGTAGCTCAACAGAGCTTTCTTTAGTTGAAGATGTGAATAAGAGGATCCCCCCTGCCTTACTTTTGGGGCGTTTAGTATTTAAGGATGAATATTTTGGCATATTGATGAATCATATTGTAGATAAGCAAACCATCTCATGGTTCAGATTCATGTTATACCAAAGTTATAGCATGTCAGTTGCAGATGATATTTTTGCTAACCTTTACCCAAGTTCACTCTGTCATGTATAACTAATGGTAATTTTACTAATGGTTGTGTCAAAGTGAACTCTTCCCTATAACACAATAATGTTAAGCCATGGAACATTAGTGCTTATGAATGTCCTCATGATGTAAATTTGAAAGTTTTTATTCATTGGGAATACATATGATATGCATTGATGTTGTTTTATTTCTTTGTTTTTACTTTTCTTTTCTTTTCGTAAAACACGTGTATGATGATGGCTCCGACAAGATGACGATGACAACAAACAACAACATGAAGCCTTTATCCCACTCTTAAAATATACATGAATCATTTTTCTCCATTGTGTTCTGTTACGGTTCAAATTCTCATTTAAACCTAATAAAGAAAGGTCATTTCTAATATTTTCTAACCAAGTTTTTTAGGTCTACCTCTACTTTTCTTAACATAAGCCAAATCTAAAATTTGTACTCTCCTAACGGGGTCATTGGAAGGCCTCAGTTTTATACGACTAAACCATCGAAAGCGACTCTCTCTAATCCTATCTTCCACTAGAGCTACTTCAATCTTTTCACGTATATGCTCATTTCGTATCTTCTCACTAGAGCTACAACTAAATTGAAAACTTACAATTTTACGTCCAATTTGTGGAGGATTTTAAGTCCAAAATTTGGAGAATTTGAGAAATTTTTTTTTTTGGTCTTTTAAGCATCAAATGTGTCACAACATAGTTTCAATTATCTTTAATCATGTGTACATACATGTATTAATTAGATTTATCTTTTTCGACTTCTTCATGGGTGTTGACAAGCCTCCCTATATCAGAGCGTCAGACCTAATTCTTCTTTTGGTGATTTCTATCTTTTCTTTTTTAATTGGTTGGTATCTGATTTATAGGCCTAATTAAGATTTTATCAATTGCAATATATATCAAATTTCTATTTTGCAATGTAAATTTCATTGTTGTTGAAATTTTATGAAACATCAAATTTTGACTACTATTAAATTATCTTTTAAAATGAAAGAAATGTGTTTGTTATTTTTTACATTTAAGAGAGATGATTCTCTCTCAAAATAAAAATTGAGAACTTATGGACTTTTATATATTTTGTGTGTTTTTGTTGTTTATTTCATCCTATGTTGAACACTGTCATTGTTATGTCCTAATCTCTAGATGAGAAAAGTGGAAGTTTGTATTAGGTATTTGACAATTAGCATAAAATTTATGGGATAATTATGACATAAATCTTTTAATATATTGTGTTAATGTTAGGGTGTTCCTTGAAAACAACAAACTGTAATGCGTGAATATAGCGAAAAATCTGCAAGGGCTACTAGTGCAGTGTTAAATCAGCAAATGTTCTCACATTATAGACAGATGTGGATAGATAAGCTAATCCATGAAATTAGAATTATGATAGAAACTTGAAATATAAGTTTTCTTACTAGCAAATTAATAAAATTAATATTTTATTTATTCAACAAACTAAATGAGTTGGAGAAAAGACTAAGGAGATTTATAGCTTAAGATTTAAATTGTGGTATTTAGAAATGAGGCCTACTAGAAATAATGTTAAGTGTAATTATAGATAGAAGTTTCAAAGATAATATTATAGACATTAATAGAATTAGAGATAAAAATTTAACTTTAAAAATTATTATTGATTTTAAGATTATTAATATTATAAGTGCTTATGCTTTTTAAATAAGTTTGAATGTGTGTTCAAAATTAAATTTTGGAAATGACTTGCACAAATTAATATAAATGATACATCTTGAAGAAATTTTTCATTAAAGGAGATTCAAATAGACATTTTGAAGTGCTGGAATATTTTAATAACATTCATATTGTATGGTCGACGGTTTAAACTGTGATTAATTTTGTATCATAATTTTTTCATGAGAGATCATTTTATAACATTTGTATATAGTTGGAATAAAATTAAGTAAATATGACATTCTGGAATTAAATTAGCCACATTCAAATAATCTGAGGACTATTTGGAGATTTAATCTCAATAGTAGAAAGTGTTTGTTTTAGGCATCAGCTATCTATGCCACTATCAATGCAGTGAATTTATTGGAAACATGAATCAATAATAAAAATACTATTTGTTTCTTTATTTTCAGTACATATTTATGTTACCTGAAATCTTCAATTGACTATAAGGCATTCTTTTGCAGGTTGTGGTACAATTAGATCAGCTCAGTGATGTTATTCCTTCTTCCAACCCTAAAAATCCTGCAGAGAAATACATTCAGATTGTCACCTCAGACAGCCATGAATTTTGGTTCATGGGCTTTGTATCTTACGAGAAAGCTCTCAAGAACCTGAAAGATGCCTTGCAGCTTGCCCACAGGAAATACAATCACCAGATATAAATGCTTCTCTAAAGGTGGAATATACTCCTTTCTAAATAAATAGACTAGGAAGAATATAAGGCTTTGTTTGGGATGGCTTTCTTACTGCTTCTTAAAGCAACTTTTTAGTATAAAAATTAAAATTTTTGTACTATAAAACTGTTTTAAGAAGCAATAAAAAGAATGTCCCAAACAATTACAATGAACATTACATAATTGACAATAGAATCATGTCCTATTTATATAATTTGCAATTTTGCCTCTCTATCTTGTGATTGAGTGGCAGAAGATTTCTTGCTTGTAACCTTATGGTATGCTGGGTTGTAGGACAACATGCTGTGCACACATCACAACAAAATTGTGTTATTAAAGAAGAAAAGGTAAGCTAAATTTAGGTTTCATTTGGGAATGTTTTCTTACTGTTTCTTAAATCAGCTTTTTAGAACAAATTTTTTAATTTTTGTACTAAAAAGCTTCTTTAGGTTTCGTTTGGGTTGAATTTTTTGCTGTTTCTTAAAGCAGCTTTTTAGTATAAAAAATTAATTTTTATATTAAAAAGCTGATTTAAGGAGAAGGAAAAAAACCGTCCCAAATGGAGTCTTAAGTTTCATTTGGGACAACTTTCGTACTGCTTTCTAAAACGGATTTCTAGTACGAAAGTTTCAAGTTAAAAAAAATGTATACTACAAAGCTGTTTTAGAAAGCAAGAAAAAAATTGTCTCACATGAAGCCTTAGTCTTGATTGCGGTGCCTGATTAATACCTTAATTTGTGTCCTGTTGTAGGTGTAGGTGATGTGGACGAGCTCATCCATGGTCTGGATCACAGCAGGATAAGAGAATTCCATCCCTTCAGTTTCCTCAAGTGTAATTACATCATACCATGTATCACCATCATCCTCAGAGCATGCTACTTTGAGTACTGCTCTAGATATGGTATTGTAAGCTAGTATCAAGCGACCATCTCTTAGTTTCACTCCATCAATACCTGAAGTAAATGGTAGCTTCCATGTTATACATGCATTTTTAGTACTGCAAAAAAAGTCTTTAACAAGATGATTGTGAAAATCATATGGTTGAATTAGTTGGACTGTGAATCAGTCCTCGAATCAGTTGGATCCGATTACAAATCGGATTTATAGAGAATCAATTTTAGGTCGTAAAATAATTTGACTAAAAACTGTTTTAAGAAGCAGTAAGAAAAATGTTCCAAACAATATCTTAATCCTATAAAAAAATGTCGATCAAACAGTTCAAACCTTGAATTATGAGCAATTGAATCGGTTCGAGCACAAGCTGCAATGATGAGATGTTGAAATATAATTTTTTTGTATGTGTTTCATGTATTTGTTATATTTTATGGTATATATTATCACTTATCATTACTATTAGAAAAATTATATAATTTAAATTATTTTAATTAAGTTTAATAATATTTACATCATCATAGTTGAACATTTGATTGGATTCTGGTTGAACATTTTCTTCGACCAATTCTATGTTGGACTAGTTGTAAGAGATTTGAATAGTTTTTTTTGTTTGGGACAGTTTTCTTATTATTGTTCAAAGTAATTTCCTAGTAAAAAAATTTTAATTCAAAAAGTTTTTATGTTAAAAATTGCTTTACAAAACAATAAGAAAGCTGCTTCATTTGGGACAGCTTTGTAACTGCTCTCTGAAGCAGTTTTTTAAGTACAAATTTTTTTATTTTAATAAAATTTTGTACTAAAAAATTATTTTTGAAAGCAGTAAGAAAGCTGTCTCAAATGAAGCCTTAATGCGAGTACTATAATGCATTATTGTTCATACAAATGGATTTCTTTTGAAACTAACCTGAATTTGGATTTGGAAGTTGAGTAGGTGCAGCCAAGCTCCAAGTAAAGCCTCCATCAACTGATTCTGACATATAAACTTTGGAAATATTTTCGAAGGACCTCAGCAGTACTCTTAAAGCGCCACTTGCAGTCTTGTATGGTACTGGTTGAATAACACTCAGTGTTTCATTCTCAATATATATAGGGCCATATTTCTTCCAGGAATGGCCACTATCTGCTGTAATCTGAACAATAAAGAACTAAGTTTCAAATTGCCAGTAAATAAGTGTGGCAATGTTAGTTATAAGTGTTAGCAAGTGCACAATACCTCCATCCAAGCTCCCCAAGAGTTCCAGCTCTCCACAGAGGATCCGCAGAGCAATCGGCCGTCGTCGAGCAAGAAGGGCTATTTGATGCAAATAAAAATATCCCAATTTAGCTGGATTTATTCATGTTAAGCGTAATCATTCTGAATTCTCAACCATCGAGATATTATCCTTTTTGATCTAATAACCTTACAAGTCTTAATGATTGAGATAATTGTCCGTTTTGACCCAACATTCTTATAGTTTGTCATCCTAAACCCTAAAAAGAAAATCCGTAGAGCAACCGGCCGTCTTCCAGCAAGAAAGTCTATTTGATGAAAATAAAAATATCCCAATTTAGCTAGATTTATTCATGTTAAGCGTAATCGTCTAAGTTCTTAGCGATTGAGATATTATCTTCTTTGATCTAATGACCTTACAAGTCTTTAACCATTAAGATAATTGTCCATTTTGACCTATTAGTCTGATAGTTTTGTCATCCTAAGGTAATTTCTTAGTGTGAATACTAATTAAATTTTAACAAAGATTACTCAGTAATCTTCTTGATATCTACTATTCAGATCAAACTGACCAATTTAAAATCCGATTCTGCTAAATTTAGTTAGAAAAAATATTCATTTGGTTCGATTTTTGGAATTTTAAAATTGAGATTAATTGATTTAGCTAATCTGCAAATAAAACATATCAAACCAATGAAACGGACACATAAGAGGAGAGATTATTACGTGCGGAATCTGGATCGGAGCTACGTACAGATTTTGTGAGTGTGCGGAGTAAAAGGGTAATGTGCATAGTAATTATACTTTACTACACTTTTATTGTGCACACTCACAGAATGCGGACATAGTTGTGGTCTGGATTCTGCACATAATAATCTCTCCACCGAAGGATTTATTATTCTGTGCGGAGTTCGGATGGCATCCGGAGACTAATAAAAATGCACCACGTCACCTAAAAAATGTACCAAACTCGGTACTGAGCTCGATACCATTCCCGTATTGCTCGGTAAATAAGCGTAATTGGATGCCGTCCGGTGTCCGCATAGAATAATAGCTCCCACCGAAGAGTATCCTTTGCTCCAGCAAATGCAAAGTCCTGTCATTCATTCCACTTACCTTGTTCTTTGATGGGCCAATTATTCCAGGAGGAAGCTGCTCTCTTTCTGACCAAGTTATCCCACCATCAAGCGATCTCTTCATGCTTCCACTCCATCTGCAGTTTCAGCACATGGTGAGAGACATAGAAAACTGGAGAGCAGAAGCTAAAAACAAAACAGTGAAGAATCCTGACTTCTGAACTTCCTGGCCAATCTTGTAGAACAATAGCAGCTCACGAGAAGGAAGCTGAAACAGCACAGGATTCCACAAAGGTACCTCTGCTTGTTCGTCTGCAACTGATGGAGGATACCAGCATCCATCCTGAAGATGCAATTCCAATTTAGGGATCATAGAAGATTAATATAAGATTCCTCAAGTAGAACGAAGAAGTTGACATCTTAAAATCCTGGATGCTACCAAACAGCCTCTAAGAAGTTCTATTGGCAAGACAAAACTATAAGTCCATTATATCTAAATGGTTTAGGGTTTAGGCTATTACAACTTACGCTTTGAAGACGAAGGGAGGAAAGAAAACACTCACGCTGTCGCTGTAATTCTGCAGCCAAATCTTGACATCTGGAGCTCCTTCTGCACTACCCCCAAAGTAAGCCACAAGCAACTTACCCCGTTCGATCTATAAAGACATCACATGAGAGACTAGCTTCAGATCATCAAATGATGAGAAATTGAACAGGAGCGACTCACCTCGACGATGGTGGAAGCATGGCAACTGTTAAAAGGAGCGGTGCATTCCTGAAAAGTAAATTCCTCTTTCACCAACTGCCAGCCACCGCTACCATTGATGGTATTGGCGTGATCATCACCGACCAAACTGCTTCTCTGTTCTCTCGTCGACGAAGCTCGATTCCTTTAATTCGACAAGTTAGTTGAAAAGATCCGAACACAGTTCAGTAGCTGCGATAATCAATTTGTTACCGGTAAGTGCGATGGAGAAGGGGGAGGTTCCGGGAGGCGAAAGCGGTGGAGAAGACCGCAAGATTAGGTGTAGAGAGGTGGCGGTGGAAGAGCTTGGATCGGAGGTCTGAAAAGATCCAAAGGAAGAGGGAGAGAAACCCCAGACCGACGACCAGCCCCAAGGCTTTCTCCAGGGCTTTGCTCGCTGTGCTGGAGCTCATTACTGCCTCTGTGGAAGCTGATAGCATCAGTATTGATGGCGATTTGCAGGGCTTTGGGTTATCTTAAAAGATTTTGAATTTAATGATTGATTGGAGGTTCTGTGGCCTTTTGTGAGGGTATAAATGACTATACATATTATAATTGGCGATCATATTATTATTTGATGAGCTCTGATTTTTATGAGTGCACACATTAAAATATGCACACTCATAAAAATCAGGCAATTTTCTGATTCTCATATAATAATCTCTCTTCATAGAGGCAAATTATTAGGTCCGGTCACCAGACCTATTTCTGGGTCCGGACATCCACTAAAAATTTTTCGCGTGGGCTTTGAGTCAAAAAAGCTCAGTCTAAAGTGCAGATAAAGCGCAGGTAGAGAGCAGTCAAAGGGCATCTAAAGCGCAGTCCACGTGGCAAGTTTCTATTGGATCTTCGGACCTAGAAATAGGTCCGGTGACTGGACCTAATAATTTGCCCTTCCTAGAGCCTAATTTTATTTATTTTTTATTTTATTTATTTTTTAATTTTTATTTATTATAACCGAGCTTCGTGGAGCCTAATTGGAACCTAATTGGAGTGCCAATGAGCGGTGACTCCAATCAGGGGTGAAACTAGTCTTATTTTTTAGGGTGGACAAAATTATTATATAAAAAATTAAATTAACAAAATCTCTCTTGCTAGACCGAGTTGATTTTTCTTTTCCTTACTCCGCACATAATATTCTCTCTTCCTGTAGGAGAATCAGGATGCGTCACGTCATCCGGTATATAGCTACAATACACACCAAAATAATGACATGACGTATTCTGATTTATCTCCAGACTGCATCGGATAACCGCACGTAATAATTTCTCGTACAAGAGAGCAACCTGCGTGATATTATCAATGGAGAACTTATGCTGCAATGCATTTATCGAAGTAGGCATTTTCAGGAAATGTTTTAAAATATAAAATCGACATGATTGCTTATATTGAACTAAAACATCAAGTTAATGTAGTATCTCAGCATTTTTTTTATCAGTTATAAGGATTTTTACTTTTTTAGGAGAAGAAACTAACATTGATAAAATCCAAAGCTTGGGAAAATTATTAGGCCCGGACACCGGACCAATAAAATATTGACATGTGGAATGTACATGTGTCCGCAGAATTTTAAATCAAGCGTGGCAAAAGTGCAGGTAAAGTACAAGTAAAGTACAGGCAAATCGCAGTAAAAGCATAGTCAAAGCGCAGTTAAAAAGTACTGTCAAAGTGCAGTTCATATGTCAAATTTTTATTGGATATCCGTACCTATTTCTCAGTTCGGTGTCCTGACATTTTTGCTAAAAGTTTGTCTCGTTGGTTTTGTCATAGGAGCTAGAGATGCGATTGGTCGTTCGAGCTGAAAGAGGAAGAAGATGAGTAAGAGGAGTAGAAGGAAGTGGAGGTTCGATTGAAGAGTAGCGAGAAGAAGAACTTTCGCATTCACGCACGGACTCTGCAGGAAGAAACTGGGCAGAGAGTTGTGGCTCTTGCATTTATGAATTGGGCTGTGCAAGAAGAAAATTGGGCAGGTTAGGACAAAAAAGTTTTTTAGGGGAGGTAAAATATCAATATTACTCTCCTTATAAGTTAAAAATTAATTTTGAGTTGCACACTCTAAGACATTACGGGGTTCTGCATGTGATGCCAATCCTTGTTCACCAATTGTCCTTTTGAAGGGGTGCCTTCTTTTAAAGTTAGTTTTGACTTTAAAAGCAAATTGCTTGCAATTTTGGGGTTGTTTGATACTATTAAAAGAATATAGTGTAAAATGAATATAATATATTTATAATATTTTGATTTATTTAGATGAATGTAAAATAAATATAGTTTTTTTTTATTTGACTAGAAGTAAAATAATTGTAGTATGATTGTGGTCGGTGGCTGGTGGTGACAACGAGTAGTGGTGGTTGGTGATTGTGGTGGTGGTGGGCGACAGGCAATGGGTGAAGAGCGACCATGACAATAACGATAGAAAACTTACGATGTATTTGAAAATTAGTAAAATCTAATGATTTTCAAATGCACTAAGAAGCTGTTTGGTTTGTTGAAAAAGAAATGAAAAGTATTTCAAATGCAAGGAATTTTAACAATTTGGGTGCTTAATTTAATGAAAAAGAAATAATGTTTAAAAATTTAGTGAATCCTTTTTCACTCCCTAATTTAGTTTTAATGAATTGTAACCTCGCCTAATTTTGATTGAATTCCTTTTCCAGCGCAAACTGAACACGTTGTTGCCACCAGGCGCCCACAATCGCATTTGTTGTCGCCACCACAAACCATAACTGGTGGCCACTGCCCTCCTCACTGTCATTGACTTTGGCTACGTGTTATCAAACACCACTGTCAACCTACCACCAACCTCCACCATCGCTACATGCCAACAACCACCATTGTCACGTGTCATCGATGCAACTGTTTAGGGTTGTCGTCATCAACCAACACCATCATTTAACTTTACATTGCATTCATTTTATTTCGAGTAAAAAAAAAAAATCTCATGCATTCTTTTTATTCTCATCCAAACAACTTCGAACTTTTCAAATTAAATACCAAGGGTTATTTGATTTCAAATCAAATATTCTCTTAAATGCATAGTAGTGTGATTTGCATGTGGGCCATGGTGGGGCCATAAACATCATTTACCATCATGCCACAACTAAGAGCACACCCAAAATATATTTTTGTGCTATAATCAAATATTATACAATCAAAATATTTTTGCTTGCCCTACATGATTAAAAAGCAAGTAAATTGAAACATTTGAAGCTTTCAACATCTATTTTAAAGTACATGTTCATATAAGAAGGGGGATCCAACATAAAACTATTTTAACTACTCTTTCATAGAATTTTGAAGAGCCTACATTTGATGGGGAAAAGGCCTTTTTCTAATGAAAAAATTCATCGAAAATTGGTTATTTTGTCATTGGTATTTCACATTTTAAGTGGAAAATTGTTGTTTTCTAAGGATTTAATATACTATATGGTACTTGAAAACCGCTTTAGAAAATAGTAAGAAAATTGTCCTAAACCAAGTCTAAGAAAATATTGGCTCTAGAAAAGCTTTTTTGCTCAATATAGGAGACAACAGTTTCGTTTGGGACAACTTTCTTACTGCTTACAATGGCTTTTAGTACAAAACTTTTATTTTTTACTAAAAAATTGCTTTAAAAAGCAGTAAGAAAGCTGTTCCAAACGAATCCAACATTGAGCTATACTCACCCAAAATGAGAGCTTATTGATGCAAAGGTTCCCCATCTTGTTAAAAATTTTATAATTATTGCATAATGATAGTGGAATCATAATCTAATGTTGGCTAAGCATAGACATTGGTCTTGAGATTGACCGAACAACATAAAAATCATTTATCTATATAGTTCTATAAACTTTCTATTATCAGCGCTTCATCTATTTATATATTTATATTTGTTTGCATAAGTTTTTCTTCTATTTACACCTATTGTAGTTCTCCCCCTAGAGCTTGCTAGCAATTAGTATTACAAAATAGGGAGATTTACAAACATACCATCATATATTAATCTTTTTACATATCTAACACCTAAAATTTTAATATTACATATATATACTACCCATAGTTCACTTTTATATCCAATATGAGTGGTAGAAATAAAATATATGAATGGTAGAAATGAGATATGAGTGACATATTGAATATTAAAATAATATAGGGTGGTATGTATGTAATATTAAAATTTTGAGTATTAGATATGTAAATAAGATCATATAAAGTGGTATTCATGTTAATCCCCCTAACAAATAATAGAGCAATTCAATTATTCAAGTTTTATGTCAATTTTAGATCATTGATTCTTCCGATTACACAAAATTTAATTAGTATTCACCCTTAATTAAAACATGACTAAAAAAAAAAAAACTAAGTTAAATTTCGTTTGGTATAGCTTTTGGGCACTGTTTTTTTTCTACTTTAAAAAGATGTTTTACAAAGCAGTATTTGCAATGTATTTAAAATTTTTGAAGTATTTGGAATTCAGCTTCTAGTTCAAGTTTGGTGTATTTTAAAATCATTAGATTTGGTCGAATTTTAAATACATTGCAAATTATTTGCCATCGCTGCTCTGATCGCCTCTGCCACCAGCCCCTCTTGTTGCCAGCAACCACTTGCTACCCGCCTCCCATCATTGTCGCCACCGCCTCTGTCAGTCATGACTATCATTGTGTTTTACACTGCATTTATTTTCAAGTAAAAAAAAAAAAACTGCAAAGCTAATTCAAATACATTGCATTCGTTTTTCAACAAACTAAATAGTCTATGAATGCTTCCCAATATTAACATTCTACTTGATGTCAAAATGCCTCCTAAGATCAATAATATACTCTATTTATGATATCCAATCAAACAAGAAGTTAAATGTTTAAGAATTAATATTAAACCTCATAATTATCAACCAATTTGATATGAAACATTTAATCAAAATACTTTAGTATTCATCAAAATTGAAGGATAGTATATTTTATCTTTAAAAATAATTTAATGTTAAAAAAAATTTCTAAGCCATAAGAATTAGGAACCCTAATCCCTAAAAATCTAGAATGCACATAAATATGCTCTTAATCATACTTTCATAAACACCTAGAAAGATAAAACCTCAAACCCTAACAAATAATACACTTTAATAAGGAAATTAGAAACTCAAAAACTTATAAATAAAAATAAAAAATTATCTTAGAAATGTAGATATGAAATAAAAGAAGAAGAGAAATAATCATGATGAACATGAACAGTTTATGTCAAGCCATGCAATGAATTCATCTTCTTACTTTGTATAAAACATGGAGGTCTTGATACTTCATCTTCCTTTCTCCTCTAAAGAAGAAAAAATACTCAGAGCTTCTTGGGGCCAAAACTTACAACTCAAACAAAGCATACAACAAGCAAAACTCATCTCTCATCATGGCTAGGAATCCATTTATCCAAAGATTCAACCTGGGAAGCCAAATTAGCCAGCTGACCCTTCACACTGAGGTCAATAATATTGGATCCATCATCACCATAGCTGATCACAAATCCAGCAATAAGTGTGGGATCTATAGTATTCTCCAACTTCAAATTTGTAAAACCAGTAAGCCTCTTCACTTTACGAGCAATTAAACTAACTTGCCTTTCATCAAGCTTCAAAGCAGAAGAAACAGATACAGCTAGCACAGCTTTCTTATCTTCTTTCATGGCTGTTGAGCTGATTTTTTCGTTCTCAAACTCCATGAAAGGTCCCATGAAAAAGGGCTCAAACTCCATAGAATGTTTACTGTAGTCATTCTTAGTGAGAAGCTGAGAAAGCTCTTCAATTCCTTGTTTCTTGCTCATAAAACTTGCATCTGGAAATTTACTAATGAATTCCTCTGGTAAAGAAGCAGCTTCTCCATTGATTGTCATGGTTGGTGAAGTTCTATTTATTGTAGAATTTGGCTGTAATGGTTTCTTCGCATGGGTTCCATGCAATGGAAGAGATTTTGGATAATTTTGATTTGATTCCTGAATTCCTGTTCCTTTTAGAGGGAAGCAGGGCTGCCCACCGCAGGTTGCACAATTGTTTAGGATGCTCATCTGGAATTTAGTTCAAGTTTCAGTTAGTAAGAAGAATAAGCAATACTTCTATGTTAGTTTCAATATATGAAACAAACTTTTGATAAGTGTTTGTTTTAGCTAATGCAAGTGATTCAGTTTAAGAGAATAAATAGGCAACCACTATATCAAAAATTGGAAATGTAGAAGAAGCTAAGTTGCAGCTTTCTGAAGAAATTTCTGAATTTTAATTCATGTTCAGTGAAGCAAAGCTAGAGGATAGAAGTTCTAAATTTTAATGGAATCAATTAATTGCTTAGAAGATAAGTAGTAAGGAAAATCAGGCAAATTGATGAGCTACCGTCTCTTTTTTTTAAGACTTAGTAAATCAACACATAAGCATATGCAAGATCTCAAACTCATGACCTCTTGTTTGAAAGCCTAAAGCTTCTTTTGGGATGACTTTTTTGCTACTTCTTAAAGTATCTTTCAAGTACAAAAATTTCAACTTTTGTACTAAAAAGCTGTTTTAAGAAGCAGTAAAAAAACCGTTCCAAACAAAGCCTAAATTAGAGCGTAAGCCCCCACCCAATGGACTAAAGGGGGCTGTAAATCTGAGTACTTTGCACTATAATTTTGTATCAAAAGAGAAAAAAAAAAAGTTCATAATGTCATCAAATTGACAATTTAAAACTAATTTTTTCATGTTATTTTCACAACTAAGCCCAATATGACAAAAATCTTTTCTTTGCTCCATTTCTCCCTTTCTCCTTCAAAGTCCACACCTACAAAATAAGCAGCTAATTAAAAATCAAACTCAAACACTCATCTCTGACTTTCTCCTCCACAACAGCACTACCATTTGGACATTTAATTATGTTGTAGGTAATGATGTAAACTTAACAACCACCAAATACTTGAAATGTGGATTGTTTCAGCTTGAAGCTTACAATGATGTAAGAAGCACAACAGTTTTATAATAAATTACTCACACAAAAGGAAAATCTCGAAATAGCATCCAACAAAAAAAGAAATCTACAAGAGTCTTCTTTAGAATATTGAGCGAACGCGTAGCTCTCATTGGTTTGTTGGTTGGGAGTTTATCTCCCAACTAAGAGGTCCTGAGTTCGAGTCTCGCATATGTGTTGTGTGTGTTCGGGCGCCGCCTCTAATTTCCCAAAAAATAAAAATTGAGCGAAATATTAATGATCAGATGACTTAGATCTTACATCCTTTCAAAAGCGAGCGAAATCCCTAACTACTGATACAATCAGGTGGCCATTTCTATTGAAGTTTAGCTTTATGTGAGAGTAAATCTTTACAATAAATTTGATGCAGCAAGGATTCGATCTTAGACAACAACTTCCAAAATCTTTATCAACTAAGCTATCACTCATAAAAAATTTCCTACCAACTACAAAAATTTATCACAAATAAATTCTATGTATGCGACAACTAAATTAAAAAGCATAAACTTAGTTTAAACATAGATTCAAAGACCATTTCTTTAAAAACTTCCCATTACAAGAAAAGTTTTGCCCTAATAGAACGTTAAATACCAAACAAAAGGGATTTAAAAAACATTAATTTGCCGTTCTGAAAAACTTCTTGTCTATTTTGCATATAATATTGAAGGCAGAAACAATTTGAATCTTCAACAATCAAATTACCATTAAATGTTACTTACACACTCTCTCTCTATCTCAGTTTGTCTCTTTACGTTTCAAAAATTGAAAAAAAGTGAGCTTGAAACATAACCAGAAATAAACGAGAGAGAGAGATCACCTGCAAATTACAGAAACAGATTGCTCTTCAGCAGCTGAACTCCTGGAGTCCTGCAGAGCACAGGAGGCTGGGAAGAGAGAGAGATATGGATAGAATGAGGCAGGGCCTTGAGAGCGCTTAGAAATTGCAGAGATGGGAAAGCCACATATATATTGAGAGAACTGATAAAAGAGGATAAGACTAACAGATAACGCTAATAAATGACTAAGTTTCGAGAGGATCTGCAGAGGGCTCTCATGGCCGCAAAATACCCATCTCAACTGAACTCGCTCCCCCACCCTCCCTATCCACTTTGCTGGAAGGAAACGTCGAGGGTCACGCGCCACAAATTAATTATAATAAATTTTTAATGGAGACAATTACTTTATATTATTATGTGCTAGAAAAAAATTATTTTTTTACTCGCAGTCAATATATTATTATATATAATAGAATTTTAAATTATGGCGTTAAGTGAAATTTTATGAAAAGTAAAAAATTATGAAATCTAATTCAATTTAAATAATTCTATAAAAATGCTAAATATAGTGAGATATTTGAAATGGTGAAAAAGTAAAAATTATAAAGCATACATGTGACTATTTCCTTAAATAAAATTTTAATTTAAAGTTCGGGTCAACCCGTTTGTTAAACAGGTTGGGTTCAGGTTGACTCGATAACTCGCGGGTCGACCCGGTTAACCAGTTTATAAATTTTTTTTTGAAATTAAAGAAAAAATAATGATGTAAAATTGTTCTAAACGATGGCTATGAAATTATTTGAACTCCGTTAAATTTTTTAAACATACAAATAATCAATTTTGTGTAATTAAATTTTAATAAAATTTATTTTTATTATAAAACTTCTTTGAAAAAAATAATACATATTAAGATATACGCCTATATTTTCCATAAACTAACCAAAAAAATAATCCAATCAATGGGGTTATAATACACATACGTATAAGAAAAATAGTACATCCAACCGATGCCGTGTAACTTAATTTTTTTAAATCCCATTAAGTCCAGTTAGGGTTCGCGGGTCGGGTCAGGTCAGCCCGGTAACCCGCACGGGTCGGGTCCGGGTTGTATATCCTGACCCGTTTAGCTAAACGGGTCGGGTTCGAGTCAACCTGTTTATGCCCGGGTCAACTCGGGTTGGACCCGAACCCGACTCGTTGACCCGAATTGATACCCACATTATAAAGCATGCACTTTGTGACTATTTCCTTAAAATAAAATTTTAATTTAAAAATCTCTCTTATTCTATGATTTTGGATCATTATCTATTTAAATTTTTTGAAAAACAATATTAAATTTCTTAAGGAATTGTAGAAAATCCTCCACACATTTTGGATAATCATCTATCAACGCTTTAGTCTTTCTTTGAAAAATAGGTACTACCATCATTTAAATTAATTAGACCTGATGAGAGGTAATTGATATTTATAATCCCTATGTTTAGGTTCTAATCCTTCTCTTAAAAATGGATTAATTGTCCCCATTAGTACATATTTGATTTGAGGAGAGACTTCCTATATTTATAACACTTGTGGCAAGCCTTTGATGCTCCTTTGAAAAAATAGGTTGATTGCCCTTATTTTGATTAGGTTTGTAAGGAAATAGAGTCGAGCTTACTTGAGCTTGAACTCATTTGCCAAAATCTTGCTCGGGATCAAGCTCGCGCGAACTCAATCCAAATATTTGTAGTAGTATTCAATCTTGATTTTATTTAAGTTTATAGTCATTCGAGCTTGGTTTGAGCCTTATTAAGGTTGTTATCGAGTGATACTATCAACTAGCTTGTTAGTTAATGAATAAGTCTTATCGAGCTTATTAATGAGCAATCTATTGAGCTTAAAAGTAAGATTAATTAGAATTATATGAACTAATAAATCTAAATAAATATCTTGTTTTCATGAACAAAAGGGAATATGATATAAAAAGAATATTACTCTCATATAATCACATATTAAAGTTTATCGAGTCTTACTCGAGCATCTTAACAAATTTATTCGTAAACTTTAAATGATGTTTTTCATGATCATAAATGAATCAAACACTAAATTATTCAAGTTTGTTCATGTATCAATTAAGTATTTATAAAAATAATCAAGCTTATTTGATTAGTTAATTAAAGAATCATAAATGAGCTCTTATCGAACTGAGCTTCAAATAACTTTTTGAGCATGTTGCGTCATTTTTTTACTGCTTTATAAAATAATTATTTAGCACAAAGTTTTCTTCTTCAAAAAATTTTGTGCGAGAAAGCTACTTATAAAGTAGTAAGAAAGCTGTACCAAATGAAATCTAAAGCTTCGTTTGAGACAGTTTTCTTACTAATTTTAATACAATTTTTTAATAAAAAATTTAAAGCTTAAAAAAATTGTGCAAAAAAAAAAAAACTTTATAAAGCAGTAAGAAAGTTGTCCAAAATGAAGCCTAAATCCCTTTTTTTTTTTTTTTTTTTTTTTGCATAGTTCTCACATAATTCAATTCTCAAGGATTTTTTTCATCTCAAAATATTCAATTTAGAGATACACAACTTGTGTAAAGTGATGTCAGCCACCGTCACCACTGGCCACTGCCCACCACTGCCCGCACTAGCTTCCACCAACTGTCACTGCCCGTCGTCAACCACTATCAATTAACTATTATTTCAAACACACTATCATATTACTCTACATTCCTTAGAAAAAAAGCTATTGCACTTGTAGTGTAATCAACAAAGCAACTTTAATGTTCTTGTGAGCTCCAAAAATTTGGCCTCGACCTCCACCCTTTGCTTTTTCTTCGGGAGAGTTTTAACGGAATTAAGTTTCGGGAAAACTTTTGAAAGGCAGATGAGTTTGTAGATAGGATACTACCCAGAGATTTCACACTCATTTTGCGAAGACTTTATGATTTGAGTTCTGGTTTCCTATAGGCGCAAGACCCTACAGTTAATTACCCCTCCTGGTAACAAGAGAGAACTTTCGATTAAGGCTATTTGTCAATCAGATATGTAGGGAATATGTATTATTTGACATATATATAGTAGCATCACACACATTGTATATTGAAAGTTTGAAGGTTTTATATTTAAAATTGGAAATTTCACCATCTTGCACTTAAAGCGGATGGTGGGGGAATGGATGATGGACCCAATCAAGATCCCATGGTTCCGTCGTCCCGGGACATCGTGGTCTCTGTTCTACTTAGTCAGAGGAGGTAGTCGATAAGGAGAGCTTCCCTCACAGTCAGTGAGCCCCCTTTGTTGCTTTCGCCTAAAATGTCGTAACTTCTGATCTAGCAGGAAGGGAAAGTCGTCAAAGGGGCGGAGTCGAACAGCGACGAAGGCATCAAAGAAGGGCCCGAAATGGAGAAAGCTACCTTCTTAGCTGCAAACTCCCGTGGTCGCTTCCGATCTGAGTGCTGTAACTTCCTTTCCCACAGGAAAAGGAATATCATTGACGGAGCTAGGTCGATCAGCTACGAAGAAGCTGAAGAAGGACGCGAGCGGGAGAACGGAAAGAGCACATAGAGAGATTGAGAGAGAGGGAGGCTGAAGGCCTTGTTTCTTCCCCCTTTTAACGACACAAGCCAGTCGTGGGGAGGGCATGGGAGACGTGCGAACGACGTGCAACGTTCGGTGCAGGACAATTACGAGTGACTTTGATATATTTTTTTTCTTTTTAATTACAGGTCAACAATTCTTTCAATACATTTGCAATATTCTTATTTTCAACATAATTAAGAAAAAATTAGTTATCCCCTTCTTTTCTTACCTGGCATATTAAATCATAGTTATAACTCAGCTTGCCAATGCTATATTCATCATAAAAACATCAACATGCATGCATCTTATTTCCCGGTCATAATCTTTATTATATGATAAGAGGTCCCAAAGCTGAGAGTGAGTCAAATTAAGGCTTCATTTGAAACGGCTTTCTTACTGCTTTTTAAACAGTTTTCTAAAAAAACTGCTTTAAGAAGCAGTAAGAAAGTCATCTCAAACAAAATCTAATTTATTTTTTTCCTTTGCTATTTATTGATGCAGTTCCAGACTTCCACATGACAAAAAAAAAAAAAAAAAAAATTAATTGATGCAGCAAAATTCACTGATTTGAGTTCTCTTTAACATTTTATTCTAGGAACAAGTCATCATAGTTTATACTTTCAGCTTATATAAAAAAGCATTTAGATTTTGATAATATTGTATATCTCTAGGAGAATTTTTTTTAAAATTACCTTCTTAATAATTTCTATTATATATATACATAAATGTAAAAAATTAGCTCCCTTTAATTAGGCAAGTGGTTGCTGACTCAGCGGACAATCGCCCATTTAATGGCTGACTAGCTTCCTTATGAGGAACTAACAGTCGCCCAATTAAAAGGGGGAAATTTTTAAGACTATGCATGATTATATACGTAATTAGTTGATTAAGCTTTGTTTTAAAAAATTTTAAACTATGCATAGCCGTTTAATGGGTGATTACCTATTATTACCCAAATCGCTCTTTTAATGGGCAATTTTGGTAATTTTCTGACCTAAAATTGATGTCACAAGATCTCTTATGGTCTTTTTTGTCCCAAAGCATAGATCTCGATTGCAGCTCTGCAGAAGTACTATCTAGTTTGCTACTTCTATGTCTTAAATGAATTCTAGTATAACTTCAATAAGTATTTCCCCCTTCTATTTTAAGTTTTGTTCAATTTTTTGCATTTGCATCTAGCTTTTTATTATTTTGCTTTTCATGGTTGGGAATGGAGAATATTCTTGCAATCTAAGTTCATGTTTGTTAACTCTAAGTTCCTTGGTATATCTTCATCTATTTGATTCCTAGAGCACACTAGGGCCTCTTATCATATGTCCCCTATAATAGGGCTAGCTTATTTAAAATTCTCATGTTTTAATATGTTATTCTTCTTTCTTATTTTTTATTTTTTTCTCTCTATTTTTAAATTAGGGTTTACTTTTTTTTTTCAACAGTTAAGGTAAATGAAAATTTGTCCTTGATTGTTGTAATGGTCATCTTCACAATTTTGATGTTGTTTGGTGAAAATTTTTTAAAAGCAGTGGTAAAAAACTGTCCCAAACGAAGCATAGATCTCAAAGAGAGGTTGTCAAACTAAGATTCCTCCAATCATCATTGCTCTAATATGATCCCTTCAATTACTGTTGTCTAACTAAGATCCCTTCGACTACAATCTAGCTAGCAATTGTCACTTAATTACAACCCCTTTGACCTCAATCTCCTAATTATAGTCCCTCCAACCACTATCACCCAAAAAAGATTCCACTGACCCTATCATCCAACTATAATTTCTCCAATCTCAATTGGCCAACTACAGTCACTTCGACCATAGTTGCCTAACTATGGCCTTTCCAACCTCCTTCTCCTAAATATAATTCCTCTTACCACCATCACCTGAATACGGTCCTTCTGACCTCCATCACCCGACTATGCTCCCACCAAACTCCATCACCCAGATACGACATCTCTAATCTCAGTCACCTAACTGTAGTCCTACTAAACACCATTGTCTAACTATGGTCCCCCTGACCACTGTTGCTCAACTAAAGTCCCACCATCCTCAATCTCCTGACTACAATTCATCAAATCTCTATTCCCCAACTACGATCCCTTTGACCTACGTCACCCAACTAGGGTCCCACCAATCTCCATCGCTCAAATGCAATCCCGTTGACCTCGGTCCCTCCAATCACATATGCCTAACTATAGTTCCTCTGACCTTCATCACCCGACTATGGTCTCTTCTACCACCATCTTTAGATTAAGGTCCCTCCGATCTCTATCACTTGACTATAATAATCTGACCACCGTTGCCCAACTACAGTCTAGCCTCCAACTACCGCCGCTCGACTATGATCCTTCCGATCAAAAAAACATGCCAACGATGAACAAATCTCATGCCATTGAATTATGCCAACTTCAACCATTTGATGTGCTTTATATAATAAATATTTTTAATATTATGCCTAAGGAAGGGCCCCATTTGTTATCAATGATAAGCACTAGTGAAGTCATTTCAACTAGGCTAGGCCCCATGGTTTTTTCTTTTCTTGGATTTTCTATATAAAAAATTGGGTGTCTCTTATGATTATTTTACTCCTCTCTCTTATATATGTACATATTGGATCTTTGTACAAAACTACGATGTTAAATTCTCCATATCTCTACCACGGTGAATGCTCTTACCCGCAACATGAGGCATGGGAGAAGTGATGGTTATGCCAAAATTATCAAGAAGTTGGTGAAGCCAAATTATGTATAGAGAGGTTGGTTGATGCAACCAATAGAAGAAAATCAGAAGCTAGCTAAGAGATTAGGAAATGCAGCTATATAATTTTCATACACCTAATCAGCTAGCTTTCTCCTTTTTATGCCCCCTGGATGATCTTTTTTGTAACATGGTGTGCACTAGGGATTCTCTGATGCAAACAATGTTCCTCAGGGTGATTCTTTAAAAATTTCAAAGCTTCTCACTTTTGTAGTAGAAATAATATTTATGTTGGAATCCACCTTATTTATAATAGGTAAAAAGAGTAAATTTGGAATATGTCTAATTTTAATAAATTTAAATTAATAAAAAAATAAATTATTTGATGTGTTGTAAATTATTTAGAGATATATTTTAAATTTATTTTACTTTTTAACTAATTCTTAAAATTTAAGACTCAAATAATAGTATTGTAAATGAAACTTTTGAATATTAATTGTGAAAATAATTCAATTTTAAGTGCTATTGTAATTATAAGAAAAACTCTATGAATGTTATGACAAGTTTAATAATACATGTAAATAAAATAAGAAAATATACTCTTCTTATTTGAGAGTTAGTGATAAAATGCTACAACAAATTGGACAGTTGCTATGTGAGTTGAGCCACAAGTCAAAACAAGTTGCATGAAACAAGTGTTTGCATGATGGCAATTGCCTAATTAATCTCCTCTCCTTCATCAAATGGTGACAGACAAATCATGCACTCTAGTGCAGCTTCCTCTTCCTCTCCCTTAACCCCCACTTCATTCTTGTGATATATGAACGTTGGAATCCAACACCGCATTTCTAAAGTATTTGGCTCATGGTCGAGTAAGTCGCACACTGTGAAGAGTTGGCGTCGAAGCCAAGTGCAGCAACCCATTGTAATAGCACTGATAATGAGGAGTAAGATGGAGACAAGTGCAAGGCTAAAGAGCAAATAGTCGTAGTTGAGTTTGTCATTGAATGGAGGAGAGGAAAATGGTGCCATTTTGATAGTTGCTACATAAGTAACATCAATTTTCTACTACACAAGGCCAACTAGAGAATATCATCAGGAACTCTCTCAACAATGCTCATTTCTATATATTTGGAAAAACTTCTCAATTTGAGAGGTAGTGATAACAACAGTGATTAATAAAAACAAATAGAGTCTGAAAAGCTGACGTAATGGACCAATGGTCCTCCACAAAGTGCCCTAGACGCATCTCAAATGTCCATTAATGGGCCATGAAGCTTTGAAAAAAAGTTAATTTGGTAGAAAATAGACAATCAGTTTTTTCTCCCGAAGGGAGTAGCATGAAAGCATAAACTCTTAAGAATATTTGAAATAAGACTTAGGATGGAGTTTAGTGTGTTTTCAAAGAAAATTTAGGTATATGACTGCTCTTCTTTTGTACTTTTGGGTTGCTTTTCATTTTCATATAAGTATTAATGTCAATATTATCATATTCATTATCTAAACTGTTTGGGATCATCTTTCAAAATCATCATTCTTCATCCGTTACATTATGTGCTATAAAAAGTGGTTAACTTAGAATACTTACTACATCATAGCCCGTGTCCAGTGATATCCGACCGTAACACCTTAATTTGGAAGAAATAGTGGCGACTGAACTCCTTAAGCTTTAGCATCCATTTTATCTTCCATTGTTCCTCTCAAACCACATAAGCAGAAAAATATAAACAGAAAGAAGAATATTCTAAAGGCTTTGACCATAACGTTGTCTCTTTCCCAATTTCCACGCTGATATTGTGTGTGCCTCAGCTCTTCCTCAGTAGGATTGGGGGAAATCTATAGTAAGTAAAGGCCCTACTGATATTGATGCTGGTGTTGAGGGGTCGGGATTGGGAGCTTGCCCTGGTGAGATTCTGGGATTTGGGTTATTCATAGTTGGTTGAGAGATTGAGGATTTGGCAAGAAAGTTTCTTTTTGGTAGGTGGTTTTGGAACTTTTATGCGTGTTAGTGATTCTAATTATCACCTTGCATGGAATGAATGATCTTAGGAGAAATTTGCTCTAATTTAAAGCTCCTTTTTTAATCGAGATCGTTGTAAGAGAAAATTTGTCCTTTGATCATGAATTCAATGCAAGGCGGTAATTAGAATTCCGAACACGCATAAAAGTTCTAAACGTCAGATAGAGTGTCCTATAAGTATGTATATGTATTTATTAAAATGTATATTTATTTATTTATTTGATTTTTTAATTAATTCATTAACATAGTATTAAAATGCAAATCGACCCATCATGTAATTTCTCATTTCATGTGTGCCTCAATTTTGATGTCATCGCCTCATGCATGGGAAAATTTCATGTTATGACTTGTGCGACGACCTAAGCAATACAACTATCATTTCTAGGTTATTTTAAAATTTTTGATGCGTCGGTGAATTATGTTTCTCAAACACTACTTTGCATTACATCCCCATATTTTCAACCGTATTAGCTTAAATAGATCAAGAGAAGTCCTTCTTAGGTAAATTCAATGACCTGAACGTACAGTGAAGTACGTTTTGTGAATGAATGACATTCAGAAAATTTTTACGCAATGTTATGTCATTAGACCAGTGTTTTCATCGTTGTTTGTTCAAGTCAGGCATGAATGATGCTTTTATGAAATTTTAGATGGTCTAAACACATCGACGCAATCTATTTCACAAACAGATAATATTTTAGTAGTTTTATGCAACATCAAGACTCGAGCTTTTCACGTATGTCGTTGCATCCTTTAGCAACTGTCATAACACTTTGAGCTTACCACGCATGGCACTGTGTAGGCCGGTCATTCTCCTCGTCACACTCCCTCGCATTGATTGTGAAACATATATGAAGATGATTAGAACTCCATTTGAGGCATGTATGGGAGAGCTATCTCAAAGTTCATTTAAGTTGAAAGTTATGACAAAAATAATGACTAACCTTGAGAACCATAATGACAATCTCAAAATAGTCCAAAATTTTTTGTAGAGAATCAAAGTGATAAACTTCAACGAATTATAACTGTACTGGATGTGTTAACATGTTTGAAAGAGATCTTGTGTGGCTTTGCATTGACAATGAGGAAGAAAGAAGAAAAATAAAGATCATGAGGAAAAATCAGTAATAATGCCCATTAATATGCTTTATCCACTCGACGATGAATGTGGAAAATCTAAGCCACTAAAGATTTCAATGCTAAATGATGAGGTGGAAGAAGTCTTTCTTGCTCTCTATAACTTATTGCGAGTCAAGAGAATCAGCTAAAAGAAGGCCATCTTCTGGAGAATAGAACCCCATGATGACCCATCATAATAAGGTGCTATATAAAATAAGAAATTAAGGGAAGGTGGCCTCCAAAGTTTTGTTGCCTTGAAAAATGAAAAATTATTTAATTATAATATAAAACATGAAATTAAAGTTAATTTTAACTTGTTGTTAATTATATAGACTATTAAGTGATTGTTTGATAAACAGAATAATTATATTAAGTAACAGATTGCCACGATCCGGCCCTGTAAGCTCGCATAGGCGAGGCGGGAACGGAGGTCAGACGATAGACTAAACTATCCAATATCTAAATCTATCATCATAGCATTTAAAGGAGCCACTAAAAACATTTAATTTGAAAACACATAAACATAAAGTCATTAAGATTCAAATAGTTACCTTTCTTTAGGCGGGCCTCTCCTACGATACTCGTTTCCACCCCTTATACTCATTAAGATTAAAATAATTATGTTTAAAAAATTTTAACAATCTAACAGTAAGACAATACTTAGTAAGTAAAATATGATTCTAAACTACAGTAATTTAAGGTAGAATGAGTAATATGCTAGATGTCACATTTTATTAAAATATATCATAAAATTTATTTCCATAAACATAACATTAAACATACACATAAATCATAAATATATATTCTTTATATTCATTTTTTATATTCATTTTACATTCATCATATTAATATTCATAAAATTCTCATTTCATATATAGTACAACCGTTATAGGAGCCACCATCTAGTACCATAAAGGTACTCCTTTACCATTTCCTTTTTCATAACCTTTATCATTTTAACATGCATGAGTACAACATCCTTAGCTAGTACCATAAGAGGGTGAGCTCCATTAATTCAACATCCACATACAAGTATTCTATAATAATTATATCATCTCATTTGTATAACATATGAATTTAATGTGATAATGCCATGAAGTATAACATATAAATCGCATGATCAATCATAGGATAAGAATAATATAATTATGATCTAAAATAACCATAAAAATTTCATAAATATGCTCGGACTTTCAAAACCTATATAACTAGAGAGAAATAAAGGTATCACTGTAATAAAGAACCATGAGTACTCACTAGAAATTAGGAAATTTATTCTCTTTGCTACTCATCCTTCCTTAGAGGTCACCATAAATAACACCTATAAGAAAATAATTTCTCCTTAAAAAATTTACAAAATAAATTTAAATTAAAATTCTTCTTCTCTTTTTAAACCATTCTAAGTTCGCTCTTTCCCTTTCTCTCTCTAATTCAACACATAAAGCATGTATATATTCAAAAAAATTCATATTTTAGTATAATTATATATTTTATCCAAATTAACCATTTACCCTAACTTAATTTAATTTTAAGTAATTTTTATTTTTGGATTTATTAATTTTAAAAATTAGAACAATATCATTTTGTGAGAAAAACCTAATTTATTCCCTTAGAAACTGTCTTAGGACCCTTAGGAACTATGTTCTTAAAATCACTTTCAAAATTTCAAACTTTAGGGAAAAACCCTAATTTCCAACTCAATAATAATTTGGGGAAAACATTGTTTTTGTAGTTAAAATATCTTCCCTATCCTTTCCTATTGATTTCTTAAAGAAATATTAAGTTTTTGTCAAACCCTAGATCCTTCTTGTCCAAAAATCTTTGAGAAAAAAGGATAAATAGTAATTCTAATACATACCTTAGCCTTCACTTAGTCTATTCTATATTTTTCATCAAGCTTGGCCGCCCAAATCTGCCGCCGGAGCCTCTTCCTATCGGCTCCCGTACTTCCGCCCTCTCCCCTTCAGTTTGGCAGATCAAAAGTCACGCCACAAATGAAGAGGCTTCAACCTCTTCATGATTTAGGGAATTAGGGATAGTTCAAATTACTTAAATGCCCTTACAAGCCTTAATTTGCCTTAAATTTTATTAAGGGTATTTTACGTATAATAAAACTTCTAAATTAAGCAAAATTAGATATATATATTATATATATCAAAATACTCAAAATCTTGTGTAGAATTTATAAAATTATTTTTGTCATATTCTGAAAACTTTGAAAATTTCACTTAAATCTCGTCGCGATGCATCGAAAAGTGTGTGATGCGTAAAATTTGTATTTTCCAGGTTTTACAATTCTCCCATCCTAATAAAAATTTTATCCTCAAAATTTACATACAACTTCTAGTTATACAATCAACCAACATCTTCCATTTCATTTAACATAAACTTTAACATTAAAATAGAATAAATTAAACATCTGATATATTATAACTAAATAATCTTATCAACCCAAAATATCTGACATAACATAACAAGATAGCCTAATAAATTCAAAACATCAGATTTAACATTACAAGTCACTAAAAATAGTCAATAAAGCCATCTCAATTATCCTTGTCAACATCTATGGATTCATTGGGCTTCTGTTGAGTCAAAGTATAAACTCGTGGTCAAACATTCTGCCTGGTTTGATTTTGCACTAAACTTGTAACTGATGATTCTATCATCTTTTATTTGCCAAAGTTCCTCTGTGAAGGTGCTTCACTTGATCTTATTTATCCTGATGTCTTTTGAACAAATGCAAGATAATATTTTCCTATGTGTCCAGGCTGATGACACCAATTGTAAGTGTTGGAAGAAATCAAACATTCACCCTTATGTAATTTTCCACACTTAGCATAAGGTTCTGTGACTTTACTTACAGTTGCAGCACTGACTACACTAGGACTAAACTTGGGCTTCTTCTCATTTGATCCCTCAGTCTGATTGCATTGTATATCTTCTTCAACACTCTTCCTTTTATATTAATCCCTTCTCTTCTGAGTAGCTTGCAAACCTATCTCAATCCTTCGGGCCCTCTCTACCAGAGTAGAACAATATTCAATGCCAAAAGGAATCAAAGATTATTTGATGATATCCTTCAAAACATATAAGAAATGATGACATTATGTTCTGCATTAAGTATCAGATATGAGGCATATATGGAAAGTTTAGTGAACTCGACCTCATATTGTGTAATAATTCTCTTACCTTGTATCAATCTGCTGAATTTATCTTGCATCTATCTTCTAGCTAACATGGGTACATACCAGTCTCAGAACACTTTTAGAAACTCTCCCCATGTGACTTGACTACTGGGTCTCCCTCCAAAATTCTCCTGTAACTGGCTTCGCCACTACCTTTCTGCCACACCATCAAAAGCAAAAGCAGCGAGAGTAACCCTTCTATCTTATGGGCAGGAAATTCCCTCATGAATCTTCTCTATCCTCATCACTCAATCTTCTGCCTCTATTGGTTCACCACTTACAAACATTGGATGCTTCATTGGGTATGGGTGGGTATGGGTATGCCCATGGCCTTATGGGTGGGTACTCAACATCGGGAGATAAATCAATTTATATTGCTAATCACCGTATATCTTATATTACAAAAATCTACACTACGTAATGTGCATCACTTAATGACATTACGACTACGGTAAATTCTAATATGCGTCTTGAAAGTTTACAATCATAGCAAGGGTAATAAGCCTCAAGGTCATCAATGTGCGGCAGACTGCATTAAAAAAGTATGGAAAGTGGGTGGGTATGGCATCTCGAAAGTCACCATGGGTAGGCGAAGCCCATCCGAGTAAAGCATGGGTACCCATTGGGTACCCAACTAGGACCCCATGTAGGGCTTTGCTATAAAGAAGTTCACATATTTCCCTATAGCTGAATTCGTAGAATTCATTGTAGCAGGTCTTAGTATAGTTTATAATTCACTATAGCAGCATCGGCATAGTGAAATTTCTATGAGAATTTGGTAATCGAATGAGAGCAATGACTGTGAGAGTTTGGAGGAGTAAGAAGCAAAGGAAATTTTAGAGAAAAAGGAGAA